CAGCAGATGGCACCTCAGCCAGCTACTCACAGGGGGTGACTTCATCCAATATTTGAGGCACCGCAGCCTCAGCAGGGTCATCCTCACTTTGTGCCACGATGTTTTCCTGGCTTGGCGATTTTCCCTCCCCCAGGACCTCACAGAAATGCTCAGCAAATCTGCGAACCTGTTCCTGGGGGTCGGAAATTGGATCACCGTTTTTTCCCCTAATGATGGTAATAGGTGTGGCGCTGCAGGTTACTTTTTTGATGGAGTTAAATAGAGATTTGTGATCACGGGCCACTGAGGAAGACTCCATCTCCTCAGCAACCCGCGACCACCACCCATCCTTGCAGCGCCTCACGGCTCTCCGAACCTCCGAGCGAAGGCTGCGGTAAGCCTCCTCATTCTCTGACGTGGGATTCTGTAGCCGATGACAGTGGGCCTGTCGCTTTTTCTCAACCATCCTGATCACCTCCTCTGTCAGCCAGGGTGTCTGGGGAGGTCTGGACCGCGTACGCAAAGCAGCCATTGCAGCTGCATGAGTCACAGTCCTAAACCTCGCCCATTTACCCTCGACATCAGGAGGAGTCGGGGACGATGCCAATCCCAGCCGCAAGCGATGATGAAATTCTCGCTTGCAACTTTCATCAGATAACTGAGACCAGGCCACTTTAGGTTGGAATGGGGTCCTGGGTGTACACCCACCACCGGAGTGGAAGAATGGCAGGCGCATCTTACAGATGACTAGTCGATGGTCAGAGGGCAGATCAGCTCCACGGTAGGTCCTGGTGTCAAGGACATGGGCTCGCATTCGCTGGTCCGTCACTATGTAGTCCAGCAGATGTTCTTGCTTGGACCCGGCATGCATCCATGATGTTGTGTGGATGCGCCGATGCCGGAACAGCGTGTTGGTAATTACAAGCCCATGGGCTGCACAAAAATCTAGCAGCCTCCTACCGTTGTTATTGAGCTGATCTGGCCCATGCCCTCCAATCACTCCAGACCAGGTGCCAGTATCATGACCAACTCGGGCATTGAAGTCACCCAACATGATGACTCTATCCCGAGGGGCCACTTTAGCCAGCACCTGTGACAGGAGGTCATAGAAGGCATCTGACTCATCGGCTTTGCCTGCATCCCTCCACGGATGTTCATCTTCGGTGGGGGCATAAGTAACCACGACCACCATTCATCGCCTCCGGTTGATGGGAAGGCGAGCCCAAAGTAGCCTGGGGCTTACAGCTTCCCACACCTCACCGCCACACTCCCACGCCCCCTTCATTCTTTTGTTCAAAAGAAGACCCACACCCTGTTGTTTGGCAGTCTGCTGCCCCGAGTAGAGGACTGTCCACCCCTCATGGTGGCAGGAGCCAGAGCCGGTCCACCGGACCTCCTGAATGCCGCATAGATCCAGGCGGTACCGGTCCAGCTCCCGACAGAGGAGTGGCAGCCACCCGTAGTGGCTTTTCGTTGTTTCTGGAGTAGCCCCGAGGGTAGGTATTCAATCTCCTGGCTCCGCCAATTGGGGTTTGGCCAGGAGACGTCATAGACGCCTGGCCCCCCGGGGCCTCCGGCACAAGCTTATTTGTTACATATTTCAGTTTAATTCGTGGTTTCGTGGTAATTAATTGAAGGTGAAGGGGTTACCAGCCCCTCGCACCCGTCCAGAGCCCCCGTTTAGCCCCTGTGGTGGACACATATGCCATGAGGGGAGGAGCCAATCAAAATTGGATCTCCCCCCACAGCGCTGTCCACGACAGAGTTGCCCGTCCGGCACCGCGAGGAGGTAGGGGGTTGTTTTGCCACTGATACACACGCTAACACACCAACACTAACACACACTAACACTGATACACACGCTAATACACACTAACACACTGATACACACGCTAACACACACTAACACACCGATACTAACACACCGATACTAACACACCGATACTAACACACACTAACACACTGATACACACGCTAACACGGCGCATGCTTACACGCCAATACTAACACACGCTAACACACTGAAACACACGCTAATACACGCACGCAAACACGCCAATATTAACACACACTAACACACTGATACACACGCTAACACGCCAATGCTAACACACACTAACACACTGATACACACGCTAACACGCCAATACTAACACACACTAACACACTGATACACACGCTAACACGCCAATACTAACACAAACTAACACACTGATACACACGCTAACACGCCAATACTAACACACACTAACACACTGATACACACGCTAACACGCCAATACTAACACACACTAACACACTGATACACACGCTAACACGCCAATACTAACACACACTAACACACTGATACACACGCTAACACGCCAATACTAACACACACTAACACACTGATACACACGCTAACACGCCAATACAAACACACACTAACACACTGATACACACGCTAATACACCAATACTAACACACACTAACACAATGATACACACGCTAACACACCAATACTAACACACACTAACACACTGATACACACACTAATACACACGCTAACACACTGATACTAACACACGCTAACACACTGATACACACGCTAACACGCCAATACTAACACACACTAACACACTGATACACACGCTAATACACGCACGCAAACACGCCAATACTAACACACACTAACACTGATACACACGCTAACAACACTAATACTAACACACGCTAACACACTGATACACACGCTAACACGGCAATACTAACACACGCTAACACAACGATACACACGCTAATACACCAATACTAACACACACTAACACACTGATACACACGCTAATACACCAATACTAATACACACTAACAGAATGATACACACGCTTACACACCAATACTAACACACGCTAACACACTGATACACACGCTAACACGCCAATACTAACACACGCTAATACACGCACGCTAACACACTGATACTAACACAAACTAACACACTGATACACACGCTAACACACCAATACTAACACACACTGATACACACGCTAACACACCAATACTAACACACACTAACACACTGATACACACGCTAATACACCAATACTAACACACACTAACACACTGATACACACGCTAACACGCCAATACTAACACACACTAACACACTGATACACACGCTAACACGCCAATACTAACACACACTAACACACTGATACACGCGCTAATACACGCACGATTACACACCAATACTAACACACGCTAATACACCGATACACACGCTAACACACCAATACTAACACACGCTAATACACCAATACTAACACACACTAACACACTGATACACGCGCTAATACACGCACGCTAACACACCAATACCAACACACGCTAACACACTGATACACGCGCTAATACACGCACGCTAACACACCAATACCAACACACGCTAACACACACCGATACACGCGCCGATACTAATATTGTTGGGCTTCGAGTGGGGTTCCTGGATGGACAGCCCCCATCACCGCCACCACCACCACCACCACCGACACCACCGCCACCACCACCACCACCGGAGTGGAAGAATGGCCGTCGCATCGACATCCAATGGCCGCTGGAAGAACATCAAGCTCCACGGAAGGTCCCGGTGGTGTGAGGCCACATGCGCCCGCATCTGCTGCTCCGTCACTACACAGGCCCGGCAGGCCTTCCTGCTTGGACCCCAGCCGTGCATCCACGCGCGTTGGCAATCACAGGCCTCAGGGGCTGCACGGAACCAGCCTGGCAATCCTCTACCAACGCCCCGCCACGCAAACCTTAATTCTCTTGCTCAGATTGAAGAGCCACTCCCCGTTGATTGGTGGTCTCCCGCCCCGAGTGGGGGACCGTCGGCCCCTCACGGTGGCTGGAGCTCCCGGCAGAGTAGCGGCAGACTCTCCTCCACACGCCGAAACCAATCCACTGGGCCTCATGAATTCCACAGAGGTCCAGGTGGTACCGGTCCAGCTCCCGACAGAGGAGTGGCAGCCTCTCCACACGCCAAAACCAATCAACTGGGCCTCCTGAATTCCACAGAGGTCCAGGTGGTACTGGTCCAGCTCCTGACAGAGGAGCGGCAGCCTCTCCTCCACACGCCGAAACCAATCCACTGGGCCTCCTGAATTCCACAGAGTTCCAGGTGGTACCGGTCCAGCTCCCGACAGAGGAGCGGCAGCCTCTCCTCCACACGCCGAAACCAATCAACTGGGCCTCCAGTCTTCCATAGCGGTCCAGGAGGTACCAGTCCAGCTCCTGACAGAGTAGCGGCAGCATCTCCTCCACACGCCGAAACAATCCACCGGACCTCCAGTCTTCCATAGCGGTCCAGGTGGTACCAGTCCAGCTCCTGACAGAGTAGCGGCAGCATCTCCTCCACACGCCGAAACAATCCACTGGACCTCCAGTCTTCCATAGCGGTCCAGGTGGTACCAGTCCAGCTCCTGACAGAGGAGCGGAAGCCTCTCCACACGCCAAAACCAATCAACTGGGCCTCCTGAATTCCACAGAGGTCCAGGTGGTACCAGTCCAGCTCCTGACAGAGTAGCGGCAGCCTCGCAACACACAAGAAAGCCAGTCCACCGGACCTTCTGTATTCCACAGAGTTCCAGGTGGTACCGGTCCAGCTTCCGACAGAGGAGTGGCAGCCTCTCCTCCACACCAGGACCAGTCCCACGGATCTCCACAGAGGTCCAGGTGGTACCGGTCCAGCTCCCGACGGAGGAGTGGCAGCCTTTCCACACGCTGAAACCAATCAACTGGGCCTCCAGTCTTCCACAGCGGTCCAGCTCCTGACAGAGTAGCGGCAGCCTCTCCACACACAACAAAGCCAGTCCACCGGACCTTCTGTATTCCACAGAGTTCCAGGTGGTACCGGTCCAGCTCCCGACAGAGGAGTGGCAGCCTCTCCACACGCTGAAACCAATCCACTGGGCCTCTAGTCTTCCATAGCGGTCCATGTGGTACCAGTCCAGCTCCTGACAGAGTAGCGGCAGCCTCGCCACACACAACAAAGCCAGTCCACCGGACCTTCTGTATTCCACAGAGTTCCAGGTGGTACCAGTCCAGCTCCTGACAGAGTAGCGGCAGCCTCTCCACACCCCGGAACCAATCAACTGGACCTCCTGAATTCCACAGCGGTCCAGGTGGTACCAGTCCAGCTCCTGACAGAGTAGCGGCAGCCTCGCCACACACAACAAAGCCAGTCCACCGGACCTTCTGTATTCCACAGAGTTCCAGGTGGTACCGGTCCAGCTCCCGACAGAGGAGTGGCAGCCTCTCCTCCACACCAGGACCAGTCCCACGAATCTCCACAGAGGTCCAGGTGGTACCGGTCCAGCTCCTGACAGAGGAGTGGCAGCCTCTCCACACGCTGAAACCAATCAACTGGACCTCCAGTCTTGCACAGCGGTCCAGGTAGTACCAGTCCAGCTCCTGACAGAGGAGCGGCAGCCTCTCCACACACAACAAAGCCAGTCCACCGGACCTTCTGTATTCCACAGAGTTCCAGGTGGTACCGGTCCAGCTCCCGACAGAGGAGCGGCAGCCTCTCCTCCACACCAGGACCAGTCCCACGAATCTCCACAGAGGTCCAGGTGGTACCGGTCCAGCTCCCGACAGAGGAGTGGCAGCCTCTCCACACGCTGAAACCAATCAACTGGACCTCCAGTCTTCCACAGCAGTCCAGGTGGTACCAGTCCAGCTCCCGACAGAGGAGCGGCAGCCTCTCCTCCACACCAGGACCAGTCCCACGAATCTCCACAGAGGTCCAGGCGGTACCGGTCCAGCTCCCGACGGAGGAGTGGCAGCCTCTCCTCCGTGTCGAGCGTCGTTCGGACATTCAACATGGCCACTCCAAGTGGCTTTTTGCCGTTTCCCGAAGAACCCCCCAACGCAGTGTGGAGCTCAGTCCCGCCCGGCATCCACCAGAGCGGCCGGGAGTTTGGCCAGGAGAGACGTCATAGACGCCCCTCCACCCCCCCTATCGGGGGGCCTCCGGTTCACGGCCGTTGCTTTGGTCTCTCGTGGCCGGAGGGGTCACCGGCCCCTCGCGACCGTCCAGAGCCCCCGTCAGCCACTTGAGTGGCCTCGAGCGCCATGGGGTGGTGAAACAGCCGGTTGTGATCAGCCTTCCTCCCTCAAAATGGCAGTGTTCACCACAGCCACCATAGCGTTCACTCACTCACCCGCTCGCTCACTCACCCACCAATTCACTCACTCACTCAAACACTCACCCACTCATTCACTCACCCACTCAATCACTCACTCACTCATTCACTCACCCACTCAATCGCTCACTCACTCACTCACCCACTCACTCACTCACCCACTCATTCACTCACTCACTCACCCACTCAATCACTCACTCACCCACCCACTCACTCACCCACTCACCCACCCACTCACCCACTCACTCACCCACCCACTCACTCACTCACTCACCCGCTCACTCACTCGACCCAACCCGCTCACCCATTCGCTCTATCACACACTCTGCCCAGGTGACGAGTTCTCGCCCGGGGTTAAACCAAATCAATTTGAGTGTCGTCTACAGTGACAAGTTGGGGCGACTCCACGTCACTGCCACGAGTGAGAGAATCACCGCTGAAACGCGCCAACGGAATCCGCAGAATGCCAATGCCGCTGCGATTACAATTTGCCAAATTTAAATAAAAAACAAAACAAAAAAATCCGACTGGGATTCGCTGGCTTCGCTCACTCGCGCCGACGTTTCGGTCAACTCGCGCTCCTCACAAAAACCCCCTCTCGCTCTTGAGAGATTCGTGGATTTCGTAAATTTCCGGTTGGTTAGGGTTTTTGTCCAGACCTGGAACCATTTAGTGTGGCGAAGAGACGCCAACGCACGAAGACACGGAGCCTCATCCAGCAGCGGAGCGGTGGAGGTGACGGAGGCATGGGGAGGAGGAGGAGGAGGAGGAGTAGGAGTAGGAGGAGTAGGTGGCAGTACCGCATCCAGGGCAACTATTCGCGGGCACACACAGAGGCACACGGACGAGCGGGTCGTCCCGTATGCGTGCGTGCACACACAGGCGGACACACGCACACACGTACACGCACGGAGCACACGTGGGTTAGACAAACCAAAGCCATCGCATGCGGACACGCGGACACGCGCGCACGCGCGGTAACAGCACCCGGAACAACCTGGACCGGCACGGCACTGGACAGGACCGGCACGGCACTGGACAGGACCGGCACGGCACTGGACAGGACCGGCAAGGCCTGGACAGGACCGGCAAGGCCTGGACAGAACCGGCACGGCACTGGACAGGACCGGCACGGCACTAGACAGGACCGGCACGGCACTGGACAGGACCGGCACGGCACTGGACAGAACCGGCAAGGCCTGGACAGGACCGGCAAGGCCTGGACAGGACCGGCACGGCACTGGACAGGACCGGCACGGCACTAGACAGGACCGGCACGGCACTGGACAGAACCGGCAAGGCCTGGACAGAACCAGCAAGGCCTGGACAGAACCGGCAAGGCCTGGACAGGACCGGCAAGGCCTGGACAGGACCGGCAAGGCCTGGACAGGACCGGCAAGGCCTGGACAGGACCGGCAAGGCCTGGACAGGACCGGCAAGGCCTGGACAGGACCGGCACGGCACTGGACAGGACCGGCACGGCACTGGACAGGACCGGCAAGGCCTGGACAGGACCGGCACGGCACTGGACAGGACCGGCAAGGCCTGGACAGAACCGGCAAGGCCTGGACAGAACCGGCACGGCACTGGACAGGACCGGCACGGCACTAGACAGGACCGGCAAGGCCTGGACAGAACCGGCAAGGCCTGGACATGACCGGCAAGGCCTGGACAGGACCGGCAAGGCCTGGACATGACCGGCAAGGCCTGGACAGGACCGGCACGGCACTGGACAGGACCGGCAAGGCACTGGACAGGACCGGCACGGCACTGGACAGAGTGTCCAGGATGTCCAGGTGGACGTCCACCGCAGCCCGCGGCTGTCCCACGGCGTCTCGCTCTCACAACTCCCTCCCCCACTGGTTTCCCCCCTAAGCCGCAGCGCCGCGTGGAAGCGTTACGCTTCGGAGAAAACTCAACCCAGGCGGAGGAGAACGGAGCAGCCAGCCAGCCCGCCAAATCCTCTCCTCCCCTCGACCCTCCCACCCAATTTGGCAGCGGCCTGAACTAACCCACGGCGGGGGGTTTACCACCAACACCACCACCACCACCACCACGGTGAGAGTTTACCACCACCACCACCACCACCACCACGGTGGAGGGGTTTACCACCACGGTGGTGGGGGTGGCGGTGCCTCGCGAGAGCGGACGCACGTGCGGACGCTGCCGCTGCCGCCGCGGACAACCCCAGCCAGGGTCCGTGTGAGCGGCACAACGTGGGACAGAGCCGTCAACAAGCCGTCGGGCGGTCACCAACAGAGGCGTGGCGGTGAGGGGGTGATGGGGTGATGGGTGGGGATGGGTTTGGTTGTGACAGCAGCGGCGACGGCGTCGGCGGAACGGACAGCACGGAAGGAGCGGTGGAGCCAAGGCGGCGGAGGAGGCGGCGGAGGAGGCGGCGGAGGAGGAGGAGGAGGCGGAGAGGAGAGGGGGGGGTTGGTGTAGCGTCGGCGCCGCCATCGGACGATGGCCGGGTCAACTCGGCCAAGAGGCGGTGGAGCCACCGCCCCGCAGCGCCACCGTGAGGTGGTTAAAGCATCGGTGGCACGGGGAGGAGGAGGAGGAGGAGGAGGCGGTGGTGTCGGTGGTGGTGGCCACCCACCGCCCTCTGTCGTGTGTGCCCACAGCGGCGGCCTTCGAAGGCGCTGCCGCTACTACCCGCAGAACATAACCAGAGACTCAGCACTGTACCGTAGACTCAGCACTGTACCGTAGACTCAGCACTGCACCTTAGACTCAGCACTGTACCGTAGACTCAGCACTGTACCGTAGACTCAGCACTGTACCGTAGACTCAGCACTGCACCGTAGACTCAGCACTGCCACCCATAGACTCAGCACTGCACCATAGACTCAACACTACCACCCATAGACTCAGCACTGCACCAGAGACTCAACACTGCACCATAGACTCAACACTACCACCCATAGACTCAGCACTGCACCATAGACTCAACACTACCACCCATAGACTCAGCACTGCACCATAGACTCAGCACTGCCACCCATAGACTCAGCACTGCACCATAGACTCAACACTACCACCCATAGACTCAGCACTGCACCATAGACTCAACACTGCACCATAGACTCAGCACTGCACCATAGACTCAGCACTGTACCATAGACCCAGCACTGCACCATAGACTCAGCACTGCACCATAGACACAGCACTGCACCATAGACTCAGCACTGTACCGTAGACTCAGCACTGTACCGTAGACTCAGCACTGCACCATAGACTCAACACTGTACTGTAGACTCAACACTGCACCATAGACTCAGCACTGTACTGTAGACTCAACACTGCACCATAGACTCAACACTGCACCATAGACTCAGCACTGCACCATAGACTCAACACTGCACCGTAGACTCAGCACTGCAGCATAGACTCAGCACTGTACCGTAGACTCAGCACTGTACCGTAGACTCAGCACTATACCGTAGACTCAGCACTGTACCGTAGACTCAGCACTGTACCGTAGACTCAGCACTGTACCGTAGACTCAGCACTATACCGTAGACTCAGCACTGTACCGTAGACTCAGCACTGTACCGTAGACTCAGCACTGTACCGTAGACTCAGCACTGTACCATAGACTCAGCACTGTACCGTAGACTCAGCACTGTACCATAGAGTCAACACTGCACCATAGACTCAGCACTGTACTGTAGACTCAACACTGCACCATAGACTCAACACTGCACCATAGACTCAACACTGCACCATAGACTCAGCACTGCACCATAGACTCAGCACTGTACCGTAGACTCAGCACTGCCCATAGACTCAGCACTGCACCATAGACTCAACACTGCACCATGGACTCAGCACTGCACCGTAGACTCAGCACTGCACCATAGACTCAGCACTGCACCATAGACTCAACACTGCACGATAGACTCAACACTGTACTGTAGACTCAACACTGCACCATAGACTCAACACTGCCCATAGACTCAACACTGCACCATAGACTCAACACTGCACCGTAGACTCAGCACTGCACCATAGACTCAACACTGCCCAAAGACTCAACACTGCACCATAGACTCAACACTGCACCAGACTCAACACTGCCCATAGACTCAGCACTGTACCGTAGACTCAGCACTGTACCGTAGACTCAGCACTGTACCGTAGACTCAGCACTGCACCAAAGACTCAACACTGCACCATAGACTCAGCACTGCACCATAGACTCAACACTGCACCATAGACTCAACACTGCACCGTAGACTCAACACTGCACCATAGACTCAGCACTGCACCATAGACTCAGCACTGCACCATAGACTCAGCACTGCACCATAGACTCAACACTGCACCATAGACTCAGCACTGCACCATACACTCAGCACTGCACCATAGACTCAGCACTGCACCATAGACTCAACACTGCACCATAGACTCAACACTGCACCATAGACTCAACACTGCACCATAGACTCAACACTGCACCATAGACTCAGCACTGCACCATAGACTCAGCACTGTACCATAGACTCAGTACTGCACCATAGACTCAACACTGCACCACAGACTCAACACTGCACCATAGACTCAGCACTGCACCATAGACTCAACACTGCACAATAGACTCAACACTGCACCGTAGACACAGCACTGCACCATAGACTCAGCACTGTACCATAGACTCAGCACTGCACCATAGACTCAACACTGCACCATAGACTCAACACTGCACCATAGACTCAGCACTGCACCATAGACTCAGCACTGCGCCATAGACTCAGCACTGCACCAGAGACTCAGCACTGCACCGTAGACTCAGCACTGCATCATAGACTCAGCACTGTACCATAGACTCAGCACTGCACCATAGACTCAACACTGCACCATAGACTCAACACTGCACCATAGACTTAGCACTGCACCATAGACTCAGCACTGCACCATAGACTCAGCACTGCACCATAGACTCAACACTGCACCATAGACTCAACACTACCACCCATAATTTCGGCACTGCACCATAGACTCAACACTACCACCCATAGACTCAGCACTGCACCATAGACTCAGCACTGCACCATAGACTCAGCACTGCACCATAGACTCAACACTACCACCCATAGACTCAGCACTGCCACCCATAGACTCAGCACTGCACCATAGACTCAGCACTGCACCAGAGACTCAGCACTGCACCATAGACTCAGCACTGCACCATAGACACAGCACTGCACCATAGACTCAGCACTGCACCATAGACTCAACACTGCACCATAGACTCAGCACTACCACCCATAGACTCAGCACTGCCACCCATAGACTCAGCACTGCCCCATAGACTCAACACTGCACCATAGACTCAACACTGCACCATAGACTCAACACTGCACCATAGACTCAACACTGCACCATAGACACAACCCTGCCCATAGACTCAGCACTGCACCATAGACTCAACACTGCACCATAGACTCAACACTACCACCCATAGACTCAGCACTGCACCATAGACTCAGCACTGCACCATAGACTCAGCACTGCACCATAGACTCAACACTACCACCCCTAGACTCAGCACTGCCACCCATAGACTCAGCACTGCACCATAGACTCAGCACTGCACCAGAGACTCAGCACTGCACCATAGACTCAGCACTGCACCATAGACTCAGCACTGCACCATAGACTCAGCACTGCACCATAGACTCAACACTGCACCATAGACTCAGCACTACCACCCATAGACTCAGCACTGCCACCCATAGACTCAGCACTGCCCCATAGACTCAACACTGCACCATAGACTCAACACTGCACCATAGACCCAACACTGCA